AAACATCATGTAATATTGCATCAAAATTGACAAAAACCCTATTCATTGTACACTTCCAATGATAGCATCATGAAAGAATATCTGTGTTACTTATTATAAGAAACTCCTATGTGAAAAAAAAGTGTTTGGACATAGTTGCTACCACCTGACATAGAGGTCCAAAAGACAGAGGTCCAGCGAGAATTTTTCCATGGAATTAATGTCATCACTCTGCTGGTTATTAGTAAAGATTACCAATAATTTTGTGCTTTATGACTGTACATTTGACAGATTTGCTGCCTTGTTTTCATTTGCAAACTCATTCTAAAGTTGGTCTTGTAGGGAAAATAAAAATATTTTAAAAGAATAAAATAAAAATAAATTTAATATTTGATCCATGTGAAAATTTGAGTCGGCTCTTAAAATATTTTCCATTTCATTGCTTTTCAGGTGCCAAGATAGACACCATTCATGAGCTATGGTGGCGTGATTACAGCCTGTTGGAAAGACATCATGGTTACATTCAGTGGTGAGAGATACCTGCTTATGTTTTTTTTAAATACAGTGTAAGATAAGTAACATGTATCTCATTGGTAAACAAAACCTATACCTATGAAGAAAAAAATAACTACAGTATATCTTTCCTGTGGACATGCCTGTTCTCATTACTAAATTCTCACATCTGAAGCTGAGGTCACGCGCCAGTGAGTTATACCAGTTTGTCAAGTTCATACATCTGTGGTTGATAGTGTTAATATGTTATTACAGAACCCTTTGAGAGGAATTGTGAGAATAATGGTTTATCACCTTAATGTAAGTTGACTTGAGCACCTTATGATTCTGTTCATGTTAGGTTGTTCCCTCTGAGAGAACCAGGTATGAACTTTCATGCCAAAGAGCTTCAGTTACATGAAATGAAGGTAGGTCTTAAAATTAGATCAGATGTTTTATGCTTCACTGTAAGATAGCCATGCATTTACTTACTAGTTCTGGTTGAATTTTTTTTAATTGAAATGTTTTCCTATATGACACACTTTTTATTCACTTCATACTTTTTTTAAGTAAAATCTCTTTTCAATTCTCATTCAGGCAATTAAAAAGGACAAACCTGCCAAGAACAGAGTATTGAAGTCATTTGAAATGATGCTTGATTTTTATGGAATGAGGTTGATTAAACCAGGGAATCATGCAGTTGCTGTCTGTGGGAATGATAAACACTTATCTCAGAATAGTGTGGAAGCTGAATTGACAACTGTAGATGATAAAGCACATGATGATAGAACAGACCCACATTTGCCTCCTGTTGAAACCACAAAAGGCCAAAAACAGGCAAGCCAGGATGTGTCAAACAGAGGAGTTTTCAGAATAGAAAGGGCAGAAAATTACAGAGAGCGATATGCCCATTTGAACAGGTAAATGGTTTTAGTACAGATAAGAAAAAAATTTAAAGAAAATAGTTTTGAAAATCATCGATTTTCCACTGAAATCTGCAAAAACTAATGCAAAATAACTGTACAATGTCATTTGATTGTGTACAAACACAAGCCAAATGCATTTAGGTACGCAGATGTCAATATGTGGATTGCTTGTAAGGGAAAGATGCATGTTTTCCTGATTTGTCTGGATATTGTATTTATGCTCCCTGGACCCCTCCCCAAACCCCACCCCATATACAGCTGTACACAGTGCTTGCGTTTTCTGATTTTTATAAAGGCCCCCTTTCATCTCTGAGCTTTGATCTCTAGATATCTATTATTCTGGTTATATTTAGTGACCATTTAATGATGGGGGTGGTCATTTTTGTTTAAATTGATATTTCAGCCGAGTACTGATAACTATTCAATATTCACCATTTTTATTTAGGTCTCGCCACAATTATCTGCGGATTACACGCATTCTGAAATCATTGGGAGAGTTAGGATGGGAGCACCTGAAACCAATCTTTGTCAGATTTGTCCTTGAAGAAATTTTCTTAAAGAAAGAACTAGAGAACACTCTTGAAAGCTGCGTACATTATTGGTTGGAAACAATACGGGACAAGGATGCCAGGAGAGAGTTGAAAAAATTCGTGGAAGAACATTGTGATTATGTGGAAAGATTGTAGGAAACTACACCATAACACCAAAGAATTTGTTTGCAAAATTAAAAAATGGTATGGAGATATATACCTTTTTACTTTTAACTTCAGCATAACCTAAGGTGATTTCAGGTCAATTATTTGGACCCAGTGTGACAGGAGTGGTAGTCCTAGAAATGGAAGTTTGGGGTCCCATATAATTAGTAAAGGTAAGTCAGAGTGTTGGGGTTAGTACTGGTATATGGGGCAGATGTCACCTTTACAAACTAATGGAGAACGGACTATGATTCCTAGCAGACAACCTTTCCTTCCACGTTGCCAAATGTTTTGATTTAAAGTTTTTCAGATTCATTGAAGATCTATGGGACAGCCGAACATGACAGTTAATTAGGAAATGGTATTACGTGGTATATTCATACTGCCTTATTCTGTTTTTGTGATAGTATTGAATTGTTTTCATGGAACACTTAAGAAAAAGGGTAATTATGAAGTTATGACAATAGATGTAACCGATCAGTTTTTCCATGAAGTAAATTTCCCGAGCTTTAGGAATGACAGTCATGCCACTAGTCAAGATTTTAGGTGATTTGAATGATAAAATCAATAGGTAGTAACCCTACCTTGAGGTTAGAAATGTACAGTCGCCTTTTGGAGATATCTTTATGTATCACTCCCTATTCGTAAGACCTACAGCATGCAGGGTCTGTAAATTTCCGTTCCACTTTTCGAGGATTAATAGACTCTTTTAACAAGTCATACTGCACTGCCGAATCTGAATTGCTATTTGCAGTCGAATATGACAAAATCAACCTAATATCCACTGTGATGAAATTGTATTCTTTGTGCCAAATGAAAGGTTTCATAGCCAGTCAAATCATAGTGTACCTAAATTCAGAACCAGACATTTTAAAATAACCTTTATTCACCCTTTTTCTTTTCAAACTTTTTAAGATCTGTGTTTTAATTTGGAGTTTATCTTGGTCTTTATTGTATATCTTTTATTTTACTCCCATTGCATTTATCAAGAAGTCTGTGCTTTATTTATTTTCAAACTCATTTTGGTCTTATTGTATATCCCTTTATGTAAATATTTTAATTTGTAAATTTTATGTATTAACAAACATTATTATTATTATATTATAATTCGGAAATTAACAATGGTTTTACATGTATCAGTAGTCAGTTACAAAATTATTGTAACGCTCATACTTTAATGTTGTATACTATTTCAAAAGCCCCACAAAAAACGATTTTATTTGATTGAATCTCTTCGATGTATATATATATATATATATATATATATATATATATATACCGATTTTAAGGAAATGGCGTTGGTTGAATATTATGGCTTTATGTTATTACTTTCGCAAATCTTGTGCACGTTAAACTTTTTAGTTGTTCAATGTATTAAATGTCATAGATTTGATAAGATTTGATACAAGTATTATTTTCACTCGTATAAGGTCATCTCAACAAATTCTGGGAAACTTTAAAGGGATAACAATTGTTCGTTTTGGTAATAAAAAACGGATTTTCGGATTTTCCTGGGGTAAATTACGATTTCCCCATATTTACCAATGGTTAATGAATCCACTCCGACAGCCGAAGTTAGTCCTTTTTATTCTAAAAAAAATGATTTTTTGTAGTCATCCCTTAAGAGTTAATTACAGAGGTATAGCCATTTATGAAAGTCCACTTAGTCTGATGGCAAGCACAGATTCCAGAATACTTGCGATAACCACTGTTTTGGTGGTAAAATGGAGTGTATTTTATTTCTATGAGTTGTTTACAATCTGTTTATTGTGAAATATGAATCTCATACGAACAGTTGCTTTCCTTTTAATTATTACTTGCAACATATAACGTGTCTGAAATAAACTTTTGAGGCCGTTTTCAAGTATTCCTGTGTCTCCACACAACTCAGCCATTTGTTTTACATGTACGTTTATGTAAAGCGTTTAGATTGTTTCTGTAATTAATCTTTATCATGTAATAGGAGTTGTATGTTACACTTTGCTCATATCTTTGACTTGTATTTGTAGTGCTGGATATGTAAAACTGTATTACTGTCAGTAGATTAAATGTCTTTAAGAATAAACGGTTCACCTGTTTCAAACGTTAACTTCATGCTGGTTAATAAACCAACGCATATTTGGAAAGAAAAAAAACACCAGGGGTTCACAGAAAAAAAACAAAAACTGGCGTCCTTTGAAAAGAGTGAGAACTTATTTTGAATCATCTATTCATGCCATTTTGGCTGAGAAAAAATCGGTTTAAGTTTTTAACACTATCGATTTTGATGCCTATTCATAATGTTACTAAAGGTCTTGTAAATAACATGTACCTAAAGCCTCAGTCACAATTTTAAGATTGTACGTCCCCTACGAAATTTGGGTGCTATGGAGGCCGTGGAGCTCGTAGAGGTAGAGGAAAGGTTTCAATGGAAAGGTGCAAGTCTGCCTTGCAAGTCGCAGGGGCCACGTCAGGTGTCTTTCAAACTGGTTGCTAATTGCCAGGTGCGATGAAGGTGGAAATTGTTCTCAATTCTTGAGTTTGTTTTGCTACCTGCGTACGTGGCACGCACTCGCCACTTACGAGGAGAATGCGACGCATGGCGAATGTAGTTTTCACTTTAGCGTCACTCTTGCTTCACACATGCCTCATACCCTCTACCAGGGCGACTGATAGATTTTTACGGATATTCACAGATATGTCTCTAGCTAGATAGATTGTCATTTGTCATTTTTCAAACTACCTAGCCTCAAAACACGGAATAAATACTGCCTGTGATGAACTAACAAACATTATTGAAAAAGCTGCAACTATGTCCTTACGAAAAAGAAATATACCAAAAAGTAATAAAACAAAAAAGAAAATAAAACGAATTAAACAACAGCCATGGTTTGACAGCTCATGCTCTGAAATTAGAAGAAATATTAAAAATCTCGGAAGACTTTTACAAAAGAATCCCCACAATAACTTCATCTCTCAAACATATCATGCGGCAACCAAAAAATATAAACAGCTTTTAAAACAAAAGAAAAGAGAATATAAAGACTCATTACTTAAAAAGCTGATCAATTCTGAACGAAACAATCCAAAAGAATTCTGGAAAACCCTTAAAAACCTTAAGGATAAAGATGATAAGAGCAATCCTGTGAACCCTGATATTTGGCAACAACATTTTCAAAAACTCTGTGGCATCCCCCCTGTTGAAGATAAAAGATTAGATGATGAAATTAAAACCTATGAAAACCAAGAAGGAGACTCTACACTCAACGGTCCAGTAACAATCGGTGAAGTGAAAAAAGCTATTAAAAAACTGAAAAACGGTAAAACTGCTGGCCAAGACTTAATAAGAAATGAAATGTTAAAATCTGGATCAAAATACTTAGTGGGTCTACTAACAAAGGTTTTTAATTTGGCACTAAACACAGCGGAAACACCAGATGCTTGGAACTTGGGCATAATACTGCCACTATACAAATCCGGAGAGCGCACAGACCCATCAAATTATAGAGGCCTGTGCATAACCAGCTGCCTTGGTAAGCTCTTTAATTCCATAATAACGGACAGACTGTCCATCTACCTAGAAGTTAATCGGAAATTGAGTGAAGAACAAGCAGGTTTTAGACCTGGATATCGGACAGCCGATCATATTTTCACACTAAAATCACTGATAAACAAGTACATGAATCAAAATAAACGCTTATATGCTTGTTTCATTGATCTACGCAAAGCTTTCGACACAGTATGGCATAAAGGACTTTTCCTGAAACTTCTCAAAACCGGAATTCGAGGCAGAGTATACAACATTATTAAATACATGTATGAAAACACAAGATTAGGTGTATCAGTAGACAAAGGATATACTCAA